GGTTTTTTTTTTGTAAAATGTGAATAGTTAGTAAGAAATAAAAACATTTTCCAAATTTGATCAAAATATGTTCACAAACAAGCAAACTACAACAGTTTACTTATTATCCATAAGAATAACATGGGAATTTTAAATTTACAATTTTTTTGAATTTTCTCCGTAACCATTAGGCGCATAATAACGCTTCAATATACTAAATTATTTGTTTTTTTAAGCTCTACAAAATGGTTTGGAAAGAAATTGCTAAATTTTATGTTTTTTAGGTCAAAAATGGGAAAAACCTATTTTTACCCCATAAAACCCCCCGTAAACCCCCGTTCCCATGGTCCGATCATGCTGGATCGCGAACTCGTTCGAATAAACGTACGTTTACACGTTTGTACCAAATTTCATCAAAATCGGATCATTTTTGCTCGAGTTATCGTGCTGACGGACACATATATATATATATATATATATATATAAATATATATATATATATATATGAATTTGAACGGATGGTGTTTTTGGCCTCTAGGGACCTCAAAACGAAAAAAAAAATCGGTCCCGCGTCCAGGTCTTACCATGAGTACTACGGTAATAGCTTATTCCCTATATGGGAAATTCGCTAATATATATATGAATTTGAACGGATGGTGTTTTTGGCCTCTAGGGACCTCAAAACGAAAAAAAAATCGGTCCCGCGTCCAGGTCTTACCATGAGTACTACGGTAATAGCTTATTCCCTATATGGGAAATTCGCTAAAAAGAAAAAGCTTAATCTCTCTGAACATGTATCTCTTGGTCTAATTGGCCTTGCCTCTATGAAGCACCTCTACCAGTGACAAAGGGAAAAAACAAAACATGACAGAGCTGTTGCCCTACATACCACCAATTTATCATGCTTGTTACCAGTGTTTGATTACCAGTGATAGTGTCGAGGACATTGGTCCTCTAGAACAAGTGAACGACGAAGAGGACGATGGCATATAACATATCGAAAATAATTTAGGACATTTCTATGAAACACTTTGAGGACAATTTTAAATTTTAGTAACAAATCGTGTTAAAAAAAATCTTTGTAACAATATTGACTTTTATTGCTTACTAAACTCAATTACTCTGATCCATTTTATTTTTTTAGCAAAATGGTGTAAGTCATATTTTTTTATCCATTTTTTAAAAATTCATAAGCACAAAGATTTAATAAAAAAGTGAACTAAGTCACCCTTTCAGGTAAAGTGGTGTAAGTCTGACTTAGACCATTGTTGTGAACATATACTTAAATGAGAATGAATATCAAAATGCACAAATTATTTAAGGCAAAGTGGTGTAAGTTTTTTTAAACACTAATAAATTTTAAATAAACAATTATTTTTGTACATTCTTAATTTAGAGAGGTACTAAAATATGGTCTGTACCATGTGTCAAAAAATTTCCTCCAAAATCCAAACTACTTTGACGTACGACAATTTTGTAAATAAACCCGTTTATCTCAAAACTATGATTTTTGACTTACACCACTTTGATTTTGACCGGCCCATATATCGTAGTACTGATATTTTGAAATTTTGGGAGTTTGTTTATTTGTTTGTTTGATATCCAATCACGCATTAACTACTGGTCAGATCGGGTTGAAATTTGGTTTGAAGATAACTCACATTCCCGATTTACATATCTAGACATATTCTTATACCAAAAATCATTTCGGGCTCTGCCCCAAAGGCTCCTCAGTTTCCCATGTTAACCTTATAAGTATTCATATTTAAAACGAATTAAAGAATTTTGCCAGCTGTTTCAACTGTACAAAAGTTGGTTCTATGATATTCAATAGCATTAAAGAGGCCACCTCTGTGTCTGGTAAGATTAGAAAACGTTAACAAACCCTTACTTGAATAGACTAGCTCCTCCCCCACATGGGACATCACTGCTGTAAGCTCCTCTCCCATTTTTTGTCCCTGCTCATTATGCCCTTTGGTCAATCTGTATGTTAGTAAAGACCTTCGAACCATTGGCCAATCTGTACGCGCGCCCCTGTCTCAACCCAAGACAAAATGGAGGCGGGTTTTAGTTTTCATCAACCTCAGAGACCCCACTTTTAATAATACAACAATATCTCTATTAACATTTTATGGCTTTTACCAGGAAAGCTTAACACTAAGAAAAACCGTATACTTAAAGTTGGTCATACAATTCCCCCTGGGAACAAAAAATGCAGCATTTTGGGGCAGCTCAAAAATGTTAAATGTAATGATTAAAAACTAAAAACTGCTGCCATTTTGTACCGGGTTGAGATAGGGACCACTGGTTTTCGCTTATATTCTTTTTAACTGGTGGTCTTCAAAATGAGGTGTTACTTGATGGGGCTTTGTATTTAAAAATCTTGAGCCGGCCCCAAAATAACCCGTTTTGGGTTTTCGGACAAAATTGGAATACCAACAAAAAGTGCATTTTTATGTTATATTTGCAGAGTTAGGTTTTCCTGGTGTAACCCATTAAATACCCCCGCCGCAGCAAACCTGCCGACTAAGCGAATTCCCATTTGTCTCAATTGATTTTCAGTTAAATATATTTTAATAACATTAGGTTTAACGAGTACCTTGGTTTGCTGCTACAAGGAAACTAATAAAGTGTGTTTTTGAGTAAAATATTGATAGCTTAGTACAAAATAAATAAATTTGCCAAGTTTGATCAAAATATTTCCATAAACAAGCAAACTACAACACTTGACAATATTCTCCATAAGAATAACATAGGAATTTTAAATTTACAATTTTTTTAATTTTCTCCGTTACTAATAATCGAACAAAAATTTGTTTATATACTAAATTATTTGTTTTTTTTAAGCTCTTTAAAAAGATCTAAAGAGAAATCGGGAAATTTTGTGTTTTGAGGGTCAAAAGTGAGAAAAACCAATTTTTACCCCATAAAACCCCCTGTAAAGCCCCGTTCCCATGGTCCGATCGCGCTGGTTCGCGAACTCATTCAAGTTTATCCCGCTTTACACCTTTAAACCAAATTTCATCAAAATCTGACAAAAATTACTCAAGTTATCGCGTTCACGGACGTGTATATATATATATGTCTATATACAGGGTTAGTAAAAAGTGTGGAGACCCCCTGTTATTTTTTTAACGGCCCATACTAGAAAAACTAAACTCGGCACACCATTATGGCATGTTATGAAGTACTTTTTGGGCATAACCGCCACTTGGTTTTCATCCCCAAGATGGGGGATTTTGGGGGAAACTAAAAAATTTCAAACACAAAGACCCATTGAGTGACCCTTCATTTTGAAGGTCCTGGTAAAAGAAAACCAACAACCCAAACTAGAGGTCTCTATCTCAGTTCAGTACAAAATGGCAGCCGATTGAAATTCTCATAAGTTCCCAAACCCAAAATGGGGGATTTTGGGGGAAACTCAATTTTTTTTAATGATAAGCCCCATCGAGTGACCCCTCATTTTGAAGGTCATAATAAAAGAAAACTAACAACACAAACTATAGGTCTCTATCTTAACACAGTAAAATATGGCAGCCAATTCAATATAAAATTGCAAGTTATTTCCGATTTTAAAGATTTCAATCACCTTCCTTTTTTTACTGGATTGAGATAGAAACCTCTAGTTTGCGTTGTTAGTTTTCTTTTACCAGGACCTTCAAAATGAGGGGTCACTTGATGGGGCTTATCATTAAAAACTTTTGAGTTTCCCCAAAAAACCCCCATTTTGGGTTTGGTAAGCAAGTGGCTATTAGGCTTAAAAAGTACTTCATAACATGCCATAAAGGTGTGCCGAGTTTAGTTTTTCTAGTATGGGCCGTTAAAAAACCCTGTATATATATACATATATAAAAATTTGAACGAATGGTGTTTTTGGCCTCTGGGGACATCAAAATGAAAAAGTAAATCGGTCCCGGGTCTAGGTCTTACCGTGCCACCTACAATAATAGCTACTTCCCTATAGGAAAATTCGCTAAAAGGTAATAGGGGGTCTCCTGACTTTTTTATTAACACTGTACCCCAAATCTCGTTGCTAACATACTGATCAATACAACTGCCGATCAAGTATGTTGCCAATGATACTATGTTAAAGGTTGTTTATAAGCTAATGGGAGAAGTATGTGTCAGATTAGATTGCTGAAACCGTTTATTTAATACCAGTTTTATATTTCTCTGTGTTCAACCCCAACCATAGCCCCAATAAATGTCAATGATCACATGATTTTGTAAAAACAATTAAGGTTTGATTCCACTTGGTTGTCAAATAATTTTGTAAACATATAGTACTTAGGTTAAAATTCAGTTGGCTTATTATTTAAACTCAGGTAGTTTTCTACGTGAAGCTGGTTAATGTGCAAATCATTATCAAAACTCAAATCTAAATTTGTTTTCTTAAACTAAATAAAAAAAAATATATTGGTGTCAACAATTTATTACAAAGTTACAGAGAAATAAATACATTTTAAACAACACATGAGTTAAGAGGAATATTAAAACAAACATTTTATCTCAGAAATCAAAATTTCACAAGAATCTATAAAAAAATACTTGCCAATAATGTATTCCTCTGATCAAAATCATCTTTAAAGTTTACTTTCACCTCTTAAACTTCAGAAAAAGCTTTGGGCACAAATCAAAATAGAAACCAGGAGTACCTATGTTTAAGAAGAAATGGATTTTTGGCTTCCGAAAGACACCAATATGAACAATCCCATGGAAATTCATAACAGTGATCAACTAGAGAACAAAATGTATACAAATGACCAAAGAACAAGACTTGAAAAAAAGACTGCCCACAATAGGAATCCTGAAAGAAGTTGTCAATGTAGTAAAGACAAGAACAACCGGCTGCCAATAATTTTTCAAAATAAAATGTATGATATAGCTGAGGAATCGTCTTATATATGCGAGCAAATTAGCAACTATAAGGATGTTGAAGCTACTAACAATTTAAAAGATCGCATCATCTTAAGATGTAGTCCAAGAGTACAAAGACATATCGTTAACAAAGAAAATTACAGGGAGTGTGACACCAACAACATTGATAGTTATGTCTACCCCCCTGTAGAACAATTTACATCAGATACTTCTTATAACAAGAAAGAGTTCAGTTCAGTAAAACACTCTAATGGAAGTCTGGACCAATTTTCCCTCAAAAGACAAGACTTTATAAAACAAATACCACTTCTTCCTTCTATAGTTCATGAACAGAAATTTTCCAAATCATATCCAGAAGAGATATTCAGAAGACAAAGATCAATTAAATGTAAACATCTTCATAAGACTTTCAAAAATTGCTTATGGACTTTATTTTACACAAATGCTTCCCTTTTGGTAAGTTTTTATAACAACGGTACCTATTTAATATGCAGTAAGAAAAAAGATTGATGCGGATTGTTTTGTTTCAGTAAAACCATATTTTTATTCAGTTGATATGGATATACAACACATTTACTTGACAAATCCTGTTTAGGTCTTTACTTCTTTTTCAATGACTAAACAATTGCTTGATTCATGTTTAAATTATTTATAGATTTATCCAGTGCTTGATTTGTAAACTACCCCCGCCGCAGCAAACCTGCAGACTAAGCGAATTTCCATCTACACATCTGGAATTCCACTAAATTATTCCCTTAAAATTGTCAGATTTATTTCCTTTTTAAATATCATTAATATTAATGAGTACTTAGGTTTGCTGCTACAGGGAAGAAAACAGGGGGTTTTTATTGAAATATTAATAGCTTAGTATGAAGTAAACAAAATTTCAAAATTTCATTAAAATATGTCCATAGACAAGCAAGCTACAACACTGTATTTATTCTCCATAAGAATAACATGGTAATTTTAAATTTACACTATTTTGCGATTTTTCCGTAACCGTTAGGCATGCAACAATGCTTCAATATACTAAATTATTTGTTTTTTTTTGAGCTCTACAAAATGGTTTACAAAGAAATTGCAAAATTGTATGTTTTCAGGGTGAAAAATTAGAAAAACCCATTTTTACCCCTTAAAACCCCCCATAAACCCCTGTTCCCATAGTCCGATCATGCTGGTTCGCGAACTCGTTTGAATAAATGTAGGTTTACATGTTTATACCAAATTTTATCAAAATCGGATCATTTTTGCTCGAGTTATCGCGCTAACGGACACATATATAAATATATATATATATATATATATGAATTTGAACGGATGGTGTTTTTGACCTCTGGGGACCTCAAAACGAAAAACTAAATCGGTCCCGGGTCCAGGTCTTACCATGAGACCTACGGTAATAGCTTATTCCCTATATGGGAAATTCGCTAAAATGAGGTGCTGGACCTGAAACCATATTTTTATCTTTCCGAAAGAGAGGTAGTACTGGAATGGTTGTTCCGCCACAAATCGGCACTGCATTTATCATTAGTATCTATTATTTTTCAGTACAAATTGATCTCATCAACCATCCATTGAAATTAAAATAATATAATGCAACAACCTTTTGCTACATCAAACATTCTTGCTTTAAAACATAGGCATGTACTAACTGTTAAAGCAACTATTTCACTAGCAATCACTTTTGAGAAAAAAACATGCATATAAATTGAAAGATAAACATTAATTTACAAAAGAAATGTCTTTCACTACTCAAGTAATTACTTTATACAATGTGCCTAATTCAACATTACCTATTTATTTTTTTATTAAAATTTCCTTTTTAATTTGGAAATTTCTCATTGTAGAAATTTGCTTAATTGAAAATTTGTACAATAATTTAAAAATATATGGATTTCTATTAGCCTAATTATTTAACATTGTCATGTCTGTTTCAAAAACTACCTATATAAAACTCTTAACAATAAATTTACTAATTAATTAGTAAATATTAATAATACAGTACCGGTACGTAATTTAGGAAAATTCAACAATCTCAATTAATAGACTTGCTAGGGATCCATATCATCCGAATAAAATAAAATAAGCTTGAATCAAAGAAAAGTAAGTACTGTTGTACTATTCCCGGACCATTAGTATATAAGATATATGATTTTGAACAGGTGGTGTTTTTGGCCTCTGGGGATATAAAACAAAAAAAAAATAAATCAGTCCTGAGTCTTGAGTATTACCATGAGACCTACAGTAATAGCGTAAATCCCTATATGTGAGATTATGCTAATTAAAGTAAATTTTAAAACACCTAGTTCACTTCTAAATATTGCTTGGTATTCACAACAATTAAAACAAATAAGTAAATTTTTGACAGAAAATGTTGTTATAACAACCAAAACTTTAACTATGCCATCTTTTGATACTGTACTGACAACGGACTCTCCACAATGTTCGTGAAATAATAGTGTTTTGTGGGTTAGGGCTGTAAATTAATTACCAACTTGTATTGAGATCTGAGCTTTGTCTTCCCTCCTCTCCTTGAAGGAATATCCTGAGCGCTCTAGTACTAGTATTACCATGTATCGATATTTTGAGGTGCAAATCCTTAGGGCTATGCATGCATGAACTGTGACACTTATTTACCCTCATTGGTCTTAAATTTGATCCCATAGTATGAAAACATTCATGTGAACGTTATACATGACAATTAGGTAACAGTTTATTACATAGTCCTGAGGATTTAACTGTCACAAAACATTTATGAAAATAAACTGTATCAGCAATATGACACATACTTTCTCCCAGCCCTTGTCATGGAAATGCTTTAGGAGTAACCATGAAAATTTATGGAGAAAGTTGCAATACCCTTTTGAACGGTAATTTTTACAGCATTGAGGGTTGCACAATTTTATAAAAGTTAATAGGACCATAACATACTACATTTGAATATAAACCGTTCAGGCCGTTTTTGTATAAACTTGATTATTCTTTAATTTTGTAGGTTTTCATTGGAAAATCGTCATTAAAAATCAAAATATTGAAAAATGAAAAAACACTCTTGGAGATACCATGAATTAGTACCCAAATACCAATTTTAATCAAAATCAGACCACAGGTGTGGACTGTAGCTCTGTACACATCCACACACACACACACACACACACATCCTTTCGAAAACTACCTTTTTTGGGTTCAGGAGGGCCCAAAATGGATTATTCCACCCAAAACTCAAACTCAAAAAGTTTTGACGAAAACAAATACTTTTCCATTTACTATGTACAGAGGGAGAAAGTAAAAAGATACTGGCAATATTGATAATTATAATTTTTGAATGAAAATATAGAACCATGAAAACCAATATTGATTTATGTTTGTAAAAATTTATCTAGAGTCATATTTCTTTTAGTGAATATTAAGAATCATGTAACAGAAGATTTTTTGAGAATGGCTTATTTTGCTTTCTTTGAAAGCATTCTGAGATATGGTCTGATTGTTTGGGGAAATGGAGTTCGCATGGATAATATATTAATCATACAGAAGAAAGCTCTTAGAATACTTACTAATTCCTATAGTCTGGAGCATTGTAAACCACTTTTCATCCAAACTGGAATCCTTACCATTGTCAACCTTGGTATATTAGAAGTATTACTCCATGTCAAAATGAATTTAAGTGATTACCACCCTAGAAGTTTTATACACACACTAGCTGGCCCGACAGACGTCGTCCTGTCCTAATATGGTTTTATGTCAATGCTTGTTCATTTTCAAGATGAGCTCGTTCGCATGGCTCAATCACACCCTGGTCAAAATTCGTTTGCCACGCTTACTCACCTTTAGGTTTGAGCTCGTTCGCTGCGCTCACTTGCCATCAGGTTCCTGTCCTAATATGGTTTTATGTCAATGCTTGTTCATTTTCAAGATGAGCTCGTTCGCATGGCTCAATCACGCCCTGGTCAAAATTCGTTTTCCACGCTTACTCACCTTTAGGTTGGAGCTCGTTCGCTGCGCTCACTTGCCTTCAGTTAGCTCGTTCGCAACGCTAACTCGCCTCCAGGTTGAAGTTCGTTCGCTACGCTCACTCACCTTTTTGGTTGCAAATTAGCTGTTGTCGTAAATTAAAAAAAATGATAGTGCTGCACCCTTTTGGTAAACCTATTAACTTGTTAATGCTATTGAACATCACAGAATCAAATTTTTTAGTTGAACCAGCTGTTAAGATTCTTTAATGAGTACTCATAAGGTTAACATGGGAAACTCCAGAGCCACTGGGGCGGAGCCCTTTTGACGGATCTGCACCAAACTTCACACAAACCATCCTTGAATAATAATAAATAATGCCTGAAAGTTTTATTACAATCTGTCGAGCGGTTTCGGAGTCCATAAAGGACAAACATACAAACATACATTGGATTTTATATATATATAGATAACCACAACACTCGTAATGAAAATAAGCTGGATGTAGACTCCCAAAAACTATGAATTACCTAGGATTAAATATGTTCAACAAGCTGCCAAATGTCTGCCTAAACATGTCTGTAACTGTTTTTAGTAAATAGCTCCCTAAATGGCTTTTAAACAACTCTTTTAGCGAATTTACCATATAGGGAATATTAGCGAATTTCCCATATAGGGAATAAGCTATTACCGTAGTACTCATGGTAAGACCTGGACCCGGGACCGATTTACTTTTTCGTTTTGAGGTCCCTAGAGGCCAAAAACACATTCGTTCAAATTCATATATACATATATATATATATATATGTGTCCGTTAAATGATCCGATTTTGATGGAATTTGGTACAAACGTGTAAACCTACATTTATTTGAACGAGTTTGCGAATCAGCATGAACGAACTATGGGAACAGGGGTTTATGGGGGGTTTTATGGGGTAAAATTAGGTTTTTCCCATTTTTGACCCTAAAAACACAAAATGTCAAAATTTCTTTCCAAACCATTCTGTAGAGCTTAAAAAAACAAATAATTTAGTATATTGAAGCGTTGTTATGCGCCTAATGGTTGCGGAGAAAATTCAAAAAAATTTTAAATTTAAAATTCTAATGTTATTCTTATGGAAAATAGTCAACTGTTGTAGTTTGCTTGTTTATGAACAAATTTTGTTCGAATTTGGAAAATACATTCATTTCTTACTAAACTATTAAGATTTTACAACAAAAATACCCCCCCCCCCCCTGTTGCAGCAAACCTAAGTGCTCGTTAAACTAATTATATTAAAATAAGGAATAAAATGTGATATTTTTAAGGAGACATTTTCTTGTAAATCCAATCAGGCAAATGGAAATTCACTTAGTCTGCAGGTTTGCTGCGGCGGGGGTATTTATAATGTTAGTTAAGTTTTTTATACCTGCCCACATGAGACTGATCTTATGTAATTTAACTAAATGTTGTGTATGCATGGTATTGTAAATGTTTTTTTCTATGTAGGCCTACATGTCATATGTGTTTATTACATTTTCTTATTGTTAGACCGTTAGAAGTGTTGTAAATGTTGGTTTATTCGATGCGATCTTGTGACAATGCCTATTATTGCTAACTTATAATGTGCTGAATGACTGAATAAATGCCTTATTCTTTCAGGTCCTTGGGTTGATCCTGCTGATTCTAGCTTTATCACACTTTTTAGCAAAGAAGTACATCAGTATTGTAACTGAAGAAACAGGATTTGTAATTTGGCTTTGGGTGATATTGATACTTTCAGCTCTTATTGTTATTGTTGGAGTTTATGGAATAATCACTTCAATAAATCCGAACAAATGCAGGATTGTTTCCGTAAGTACAAATACTGTTAAAACAGTAAATATTTCTTTTACTTGATCTACTAGACATACTCGTACATCTGCTGAGTAAACTAATGTTTATAAATAATACACTAAGACTTAGAAACAAAATTCTAAAATAGGAAGCTTAGTAATAAAAGAATTGGAATGTCAACGTCTTGATATCAATGTACCCAATGGCGGCTCTTCACTTGACTAGCCAATTGTTCACAATTTATACATAACTGGTTCCTTAGGAGCTCCCCGGGACAACAGGGTTAAACAATAGAAGATTTAGAGGCGGTTCACGAGCTCGGGTTTATAGTAGTCCGAGCCCAGAATCCAGACATAACCGGTATTTGCACCTTGGCTTAAACAATCGGGTTCTTGAGCTTGAGACTTTATAAGCAGCGGCCGAAACTGATAGACTCCACACAATTAGTGCAGGGATAAAACCTGGTTATAAAAGTTGGTTTCACAAGTGAAATTACAGATAGTCCCGGCTTTCAAAGATAAACTTGGTGGATTAACGAGTCAAGTCCGAGCCCAAAATGAGAGAAGCTCGGACTGAGGAACAATGAAGTTTGGGCGGCTCCAACTTAGACCTGGTAGGGGGCAAGTTAAATATGACATCATGCCGGGATTATCTCATTATCTCCTTTATTTTTATTATTTTTAAAAACTGATGTTTTAGTATAGTAAGATATGGTCTCATTAAATTCTTAACAATTTTATCTAAAGCAGTTTTCAAAATTTAGAAGAAATTTATAAGGATTTTATCATTTATGCCTAAAAGAACCTCATGCAGAGCTTTATTTGCTAAATACGAGATATTAACTTTGCCTTCACTTTATATATTTAAAATTATGGTGAATTTTAAAATTAATTATCAAATGTACAATGATAAACAAATCAGTCATCCGTATCCTACACGCTCAAAAACATTTCAATATCCAAGACATCGCCTATGTTTATATGAAAGATCTCATTATATGGGATTAAGGCTTTACAACAGTCTACCCACTAATTTCAAAGAAATTAACAGTATTTCAAAATTTAAAAATGATTTCAAACGATACCTTTTACAGAAAAATTATTATAAGATTTCCGATTATTTAAATGATAAGTAAATATATATTTAGTTTAAGCTATGTGGATTTTAGTTTTATTATGTAGTGTTAAAGATCTCTGACAATATCACCTGTTTCACCAGCTAACACTGGATCTGTAAAATGTTTTTGTGATAATAAAGTAATATTTCATTTCATTTCATCACCCACAACACCATATTAAAAAAATATGTAAAAATTGGTAAAAAACGCTTAGAGTTTAACAAATTTAACGAACCCCTTGAAATGATGCACGTAACAAAGATTTATTACAGAAATAGTTTGACTGATAAACCTCTTTTAATTACAATCCAAACGGTAAAATAATTGTAACGTTAAAATAATGTGTATAAATAATTGACCAGAAACAGTTTTTCTGCCATGGGAAACATCATAAGCATCATTGATTTTTTAGGTAAAAAAAAAACATTCGACTCAATTGACAGAAATTTATTGCTAACAAAATTAATTGGAACAGATCGGTGTCAGAGGCACTGCTCTCACATGGTTCAAAAACTATTTATCTGACGGACATCAAGTGATTTCCATCTGTGGTGTGAAGTGATGCAAATTCAATTGAGTATGGGGTTATTCAGGGAAGTACTCTGGGGCCTATACTTTTTCTAATTTATACAAACAACATTTCTAAACTCAACCTAAATGGTGAACTGTTCTTATTTGCTGACGACACATTAGTTTTGATAAAGGGTTGTTTGTGGGAGGATGTCAGGTCCAAAGCTCTTGATGACCTCTTACTTCTAAAGAAATGGTTAGATCAAAACGTGCTCTAACTTAATGTAACCAAGACTAAATTTCTTCCCATATCACACAGAATCAGCACTGATTACAGTCTACACAATTTGAAGATTCATTGCTGTGGCAACCATAACATTTTATCTTGTAATTGTGAATACATTGAAAGGGTAGATTATTATAAATATTTGGGTGTTTATTTTGACTACCGAATGAAGTGGACAGAGCATGTAGATTTCTTGAAGAAAAAGATTCGTAAATATATCTATGCTTTTAACCAATTGAGTGAAATTTTAGACGAGGATGAGGTAAAGCGAGCTTATTTCCCTTATGTGCAATCCTTGATATCATTTGGAATTATTTGCTGGGGAGCATGCTATCACACCACCTTGGAACCCTTGAATGTAATCCAAAGATCAATTTTGAAAAAGTTGCTTTTAGAAAAAATAGAAGGTACACTGACACTCTATTCTGTGGTGAGACGGAAATATTACCGGTCAGACATCTTTTCATCCAGTGTCTTCTTAATCACACACTCAAAAACTCAACTTGATTCTTACAGCAGTCACATATCAGCACTTCACAAAATACTCGCACAATGTTAGAATATCTGTTCCTCAGCTACATAAATCAGTTCTAACTACCAACTGTTTTTATGTTGCTCAGATCCTATATCGAAATTTAATTCAAAAATATGATATTCAACACGTTTTCAGTTTACTCTCATTACAGAAATTCAAAAGTCATATTCTTGTTTTACTGCACTCCATTACCAAAGAAGAGGCCGAGACTTTGATTAGACCAAACCATACTTGATTCTGACTAAAAATCCTTGACCCTTCGACCCCCTCACCCTCTAAATGTCTTCTTTTGATTGAACTGGCTTTGTTTGGTTGTCGTCACCGACATTCTCACATCCGCATTTAAGTTTTCTTTCAAATAATTAAGGAAAAAAATCTTTCCCATATTCAGTTTTTTTGCCCTTAAAATTACGTAGACTGATAACAACCAGGCCTATGCACAGGCACCTGCACATGTAGGCGAGTGAAAATTTAAAAACGTACGTTTTCAGGAAAAGCACTTTATAAATTTTTTTCCCCTTTTTTCAAAACTTTTATTATTATTTTTATTTCATTAACATTTGAAGTTTCATAAAATGTCCATGGTAACGCAATATCTTTGGTATTTTTTTTTAAAAAGAGCATCTTTAGTGGAAAAACACAAAATCCTGTCACGACCATAACAGACGTTTAAATGAATATTAAAAATAGTTAATATTATTTTTATAACTATGTTTTGCTATAAACTAATTTACTTTTATGACCATTATACAATAAAAAGGTCACTGAGCTTTTGGTAGGTATATTTGGTCTTTCTAGAAAAAAATAAAAATACTCAAAAAATTGGAAAAAGCCAATAAAATCTTTTTAAGTTTGTATAACTCCGAAAAAACTTACCTGAGACCCGAAAAATCGTTATGTTTGTATAGAGGTGTGCTTCTTTTGTGAATAAATCATTGAAATATGACGATATTTTAATTTTTGAAATTTTTATGATAGAAATCATAAACGTGATGGTCAGGGACAAGCGGTACGGTCGTGAATTTTCTGAAATAATCTAAATCTTTCTAAACAATCCTTCAATTATACTGTTAGTTATAATAAAATAAGTGTTTCAATTGAACTAAACTGTTCAAATTACAATTATATTAAAGTTATTGTCACGACCAAACACACTATAATCCATAAGGCTGGATTGGTCGTGAAAAACCCCGCGATGGTCGTGAAACTTTGGTCGTGAAATTACGTGTTATTTGGCTCTGTTCTGGCGGTAGCCCTGCACCTCATGTTCGAGGATACAAAGTGGACTTCTAGGTTAATCTAGCAATTGAAATATCTTATAAAAAAAAATTAACACCATGTCTACTTCATCGAATGACTACGTACGGTCATGGACACACCAAAATTACAAAAAACACAATCTTTCCTTTATTAATCTTGTAATTCCTCCTTTCAACTCGAAACGACCGGCACTACAATCCTGACGTACACCCCGAACTAGTCTCTAAAACCAACTGACTCCATCGACGCCAGGCTTGCCACTGTCGTGCTCCAAAGTTGAAAATTTTTCCCAAATGGTCATGACGCCAAATCGAGGGACAGACTTATTTTGTCATGGTAGTCAGTTTGCAATGACAATAAAATTATAATATGCTCCTTTTTTGTAAGTTTAATAACCATTGATGACATAAAAATATAGCTTTATATATTTCGGCATGAATAATTAGTCTAAAAACAGCGTGAAAGTTGGAAAATGTACCCTAGGGACACGTCATGGTCGTGAATTTCGAGACTTTAAAAATACGAAAAAAATACCTAGAACCTATTTAAAACCAAATAAATGTGTGTAACATGTTGCCCCCGTCCCAAACAATATTAAAACACATAATAATAAACTACAAATCCAGTATCTACAAAGTAAAAGGCCAGGGACATGAAAACGTACGTTTTTAAATTTTCACTCAGGCCTATCCCATAAGTATGGCAGATTCATCTGTTAGTTGTACTATTAAATCTTGCTCTCTGTTTTATTATCCTTCTGTAATGAAATTGGGATAAATAAACGTATTTCATTTAATTTAATTTCACATTTATAAATGCTATTTATGAAGGGGAATACCAAATTGAAACTTGTGTGTAGCTACATTAACCATCCTAAATTATCGGGTTTTCATAGAAAACTAGTACACCTGTTGCTCGAATTCGAGCAAATTGCAAAAACGGAATAACCCTAAAAGTCATATAAATTTCGATGTAAAAGAGTGAACACCAAGATAATGTAATCAAACACTCCACTCCAGTTAGTTATTGAAACTGAAAACCAACTCACTCTGAAAACGAACGTTCTTGAGTGTATCATTTATTTACTATGAACAGCTGTAATTAATACAAATTATTCATCTGTTTAAGTAAACAAAATATTTTCTTCATGAGAAATAGATTGGAATTTTGATGGCCTGTGGGGCAAAGCCCGAGGACTTTTATTGCAGGATTTGGTGAAAGGGGGCATCTACACAAAAAATACTTTATTTTGAAATGAAATGAAAATCTTTCTTTATTGAGGCGAACTTAGGACCTCACGGTCCTTTCTT